GCACTAATGCTTAGCTTTGTTCTTAAGGTAAGAAATAGGCTGCAGGTACTATGATTTACTGTTGTCTGAACCAGAGTTCTGTAGAAATAAGCCTGAGGCGAGGTTCTTATGAGAATATTTCATGAAAAATCGACTCTCTGGCTTGCGGTACTAAAGGGAAAGTGAAGTGAAGTGAAGTAGAAGTAAAATGACTCAGAATTATGCTAACCGTTACTTCGTGGGGAGAGTCAGAAGAGACACATCAATAACTCTCTGGCAGGTGTTTCATCAGTATAGACTTGTGTCCTCGTCTCTAATTCATGACTCAGAACAACCGAGCTAGAGGGAGGGAAATAGTTCTTTCCCTATCTCTTGTCTGACATTGGCTAAAGTCCTTCCATTGGAAGTTAGCATATCTTCACTAGACAGCCATGTCATCTGACCCATGTAGACATTTTTAGATAGGGCAGAAGGTTTACTTTATATTGTATAATACCTTGTGAATCCAGAATTCGTGAGAAAAGCCAGGTGTGCCGGGTGTAGCTGGTGAGCTTCAGGAGGGTAGTACTGTAAGAAGTTTATGAACCTGCCAAACCTGAAGTGAAGCAAGCACGGAAGTGTTTGGGAGACAACACTGACAGAATCCAAAAAGATGGGCTCATTATGATTTACCATATAGAAGTTTAAGAACAGTACCCTTCTCCATTTGACAGACTGATGTTCAAATTTCTTAGAAATAGTGTCTTGGAGGAAAGATGTTCTGTTGTTGACTATATGACACTATCTTGCTTCCATAGGAACCTGACGTCAGTACTTGGTTAGTGTTCTTACATCACATCAAGCCTCCAAGGAGTCTCTCTTTCTACATTGAATTTATCTCATAAAAGCAAAAGAAATGTTTAAATAAGAGGATCTATCAACATATTTCAACAAATTAAAAAGTAAAGAATGCTTAGCCCGATACATGCAGAAACCTATTGAACAAACTTCAACACCACTTATAATTTAAAACTCTCAGTACTAGAAATACATGGAATATTTTTGTTCTTATTGGTAGGAGGGTGAGGGTAGGGACAGAATCTAGGGCCTCAACTTATTAGATAAATCTCTAAACCCAGAAATAACTTGCTTTTATTCAATAATGTGCTAGACTACGATTGGGATGTAAAATGAATAAATAAATAAATTTTAAAAAATAATGTGCTAATCACATCATCTGAAAATAGTGATACTTTGGCTTCTTCCTTTCTGATTTGTATCCCCTTGACCTCTTTTAGTTGTCTTATTGCTCTAGTTAGGATTTCAAGTACTATGTTGAAGAGATAAGAAGAGAGTGGGCAGCCTTGCCTTGTCCTTGATTTTAGTGGGATTGATTTAAGTTTCTCTCCAAAGACCTGGAGGAGTCAAGAGCTCCACAAAGGAGACCAACATAGCCAAGAATCTGAGCTCAGGAGGTCCTGCAGAGACTGATGAATCAAACAAGGACCATTCATGAAGAGGACTTAGACCCCTGCTGAGATGTAGCCCATCGGCAGCCCATTCTCCATTGGGGGTCCCTAGTAAGAAGAGCAGGGGCAGTCTTTGACATGAACTCAGTTGCCTACTCTTTGATCACCTCCACCCAGGCCACAGAGAAAGAGAATCCAGACAGCCCTGATAAGACCTGATAGGAGAGGGTCAGATAGCAGGAAAGGAGGACCTCCCCTATCAGTAGATTAGGGGAGCGACATTGGGTGGGGGGGAAAAAGGAGGGTGGGGCAAGGAGAAGATGAGGGAGGCAGCTACAGCAGGGATACAAAGTGAATAAATTGTAATAAATAATAAAGAAAAAATCCAACCACACACAAAAAAATAATGTGCTAGGTCCTGGCCAACAAAACAAGATACATAACTATCTATGTTGAAAAGGAAGAAAACAAAAGCATTTGTTATACTTTTATAATTTGTACAGAGAAATCTAAGGGCAGATACTAAAAACATTAAATGATGCTGCAATTTTTAAAACACAGTATTTTTATATACTAACAATAATCAGCTTATTATCAAACTGACTTAACAAAAATTAAGTCAGGGACAGCAATATGGAATCAGCAGGAAAAGCACCTGCAGCCAAATTTGATAACCTGAGTTTGAACCCTAGAACTTACATAAGAGAAGACCAACTCCATAAGCTGTCCTCTGACCTCCATACATACACACACACACACACAAAAAATGTAAGTGTAAAAAAAATGATCAGAACAGCATTAAATCTAAAATAGTATACAGAGATAATCTAACAAAAAGATTACAATTTTTATTTTAAAATTGTAGTTATTTAAAAACATAAAAGAAAAGCAAATAAATCATTTTCAAAAATGGAACTTGCATATCAGTGAGAAATTTGACCCAATGAGTGGAATATTTAAATACACAAAGCAAAAGCATATCCCTATGACAAAACAACGTAAAATAATTTATGCAGAAGTTAAACTTAAAATTACAAAGCATAAGTACTTAAACTTGATGGAAAAACTAGGATTGTGGTTTTTCTCAAGAAAGGAAAGATTTACTAAACCAAAGGCAAGATGAAAAGATTAACAAAATTGAATATAGTGAGAACAAAAACCTGGTCTTACAAGAAGGCGGGATTCACCGTGGGCGATAGACTAACACGCTGTAGAGCAGCACGTTGGCCTTGGTGTTCTGGCATCAATATTCATGTATTTTATAATCCTTTTTAATTATCAAAACACATGGATCACAGACTGCATTCTTCCAGAAAAACTTTGATAACACGCATGAGTGCACACACACACACACACACACACACACACACACACACATACATTTTACCATTTTCCCCGGTACCACGTCCACTGCCCGCCCCAGCTTTGTACCTATCTGCTCAGGCTCTTGTTCTTGGGCATGTAGTATACATGAACTAATACAGATGCATCGTCGCATAGTTTTATACCTCACTGCTCTAGAATTTTCTTTGTAAAATGTTCCTTAGTAAATGTTCCACTATGTGCATACCAACATTCATTTATTTAACGCTTGATTATTATAAATATTATTGCTTAGTCATGTAAATATTATGGATATATGAAAGGATTATCTAGGTCAAATTATTTAAATCATGTCTCCTAAATTATTATAATACCGTTTCCTGTGCCTGTATAGACATATACATATCCAGATACATATCTACATTTCTAATCTAAATTATGAAATTATCAGGAATTTTTTATAATCTGATAATGCATTAATTACATCTTCATAGCTGCACAGCCTTTTCTAGTATTTTCTAGCATAGCCACTATCTAGTATTATTATTATTAACATTTTCCTGTCTGATGGGAAAATGGTACAACCATATTTTCCAAACTGCCAATGAGCATGTTTCCTTCACACCCCAATAGACTATACCTGCACATGAAATATATAACTTTACTTATTTCAGAAAAAGTTTGTCCCATTTGCTTTTTAAGTATCTAGAACAATTTTTAAATATTTTTGAGCTTATAATATAATTACATCATTTTCTATTTCCCTTTCTCACTCTAAACCTTCCCACATAACCCCTCTGCTATATTTTTAATTAATGACCTTATTTTCCATTAACTGCTGTTACATGCATGTATGTATTTGTATATATGTATATATTCCTTAACAGTTGCATACAGTTTATATGTTATAGACAATGTGTTCTTGTGTGTATGTTTTAGGGCTGACCACTAGGTCTTGAAGAGCCAGTTGATTCGCCATTGCTTAGAGAAGACTTTCTCCCACTCTTAGCATTCCTTAGCTGCCCATAGTTCTTTGTGGAGTGTTGAGGTCTCGTGTGTTTTTATCAATAAAAAAATAAACTCTGACAACATCTGGTTGACATTATGGTCTATTTATGGATTGATTTAGAGGTACCTAACATTGTTTCAGCAGTAAAAATTGCCTTCCATGTTGGATTTTTGTTGGACTACCTCAGTTCCTAGCTTTTAAAAGTAAGAATTTACTTTAAAAAAAAACTAAATTAAACCTATAGTAAATAATTTACTAATTTTTGTATAGTGCCTAGTAGGAATTATATACTTGACAAGACATCCATAAAGACAACATGTTCTATCTCAAACTATAAACTGTGCCATTATCAATGGCAAATTATAAAATAATAAAGATTGTTTTTATACTCTGATAATGTATTAGCTACATCTGCACAGCTGTGACCAAAATATCTAAGAGATCAAAGGAACAAATGATTTATCACGGTTTTCAGTTTCAAACAGTCTAGTCCTTATTAGTCTTGAGTTTGAGGCTCAAACTCATTAGTATTTGAGTTTGAGTTTGTTTTGTGTCATGGAAAGCCACAAAACAAAGAAACAGCATATAGGAAAAGGCCAGAGGAGAAACAGATCCAACATCACACCCCTCTTAACCTACTCTTCCAAATAGACTCCATTAGTACCTTTTCCCAACCCCCAATAATGTTATATTATAAAGTCACCAAGGGATTGATTCAGTGAGTAAGAGAGCCCTAATTCTCTTACCATCCCTAGAAATTACGGCAGACACACATACAGGTTTGCTTCACTAATCTCTTGGGCATTTTTTTTTGCCATGACAAAATTGACAAATACTCTCTATATTAGGTGGATTTATTTAAAAAAATCAAAATTATCTAATTTTTATTACTGGATATTGGCCATAACTTTATTAATACCAAAACCAAATAACAGATACAAGATTAAGTCATACTATTAAATTAAATCATATAATATTTAGAAATAAAAGCTACTCTGTTACCTTCTCAACAACAATGATTTAAGTATCAAATTTACTTCTAGGTAAAATAAAAACTTAGAGCATTAGTAGCAAGAGCAGTTCATTTATTTGTTTACTTGTTCATTCATAATTTCAGTAAGATTTACTTTTAAATGCCACTGAATTTTACATACTAATTAAGACGTTAAAGCTCCAGAAACATTTTCAAATACCTATTTTCTGAAACTGTGGTAAACAAAAGCAAGAGATAGCACACTTACTTTTCCTTCATCTCTTGGGCTATCACTTAAATGTACAACTGGGCCTGGGTGAGTCTTCGTGGATCTGTTAAATCAATTCAGAGCAATAACTTAAAACTAGACAGTAGAAAATGGTAAACCCCCCCCCCGCCCAGATGTAGCCCATGGACAGCTCAGTCTCCAAGGGGGTTCCCTAGTAAGGGGAGCCTGGCAGTCTCTGGCATGAACTTGGCTGCCTGTTTGATCATCTTCCCCTGGCATGGTGGCCTTATTAGGCCACAGAGAAAGAGGCTCCAGATAATCTTGATGAGACCTATATGCTAGGGTCAGATAGTAGGGGAGGAGGACCTCTCTATCAGTAAACTAGGGGAGGGACATAAAGGGAAAGAGGGAGGGAGGGTGGAACCAAGGGGAGATGAGGGAGGGGGCTACAGCCAGAATACAAAGTGAATAAATTTTAATAACAATAAAAATAAAAAATTAAGATTAAGATGGAATACACTTCCAGGGGGTAGGGCTAAGCCTCCAATTCACTTAAATTTTAGCTTCCTTTTTTAATTACTTTTCTTCTTCCTATTAAATCTAGTAAAATGGGGTTGTTGTTGTTTTTAAATCAGGCATGAAAATTAAGTTCTATATTCAAAAACGGCACTTTTAATTACATTTTTGTAAAATAAGAGTCCTTAGTATTTTAATAGCTTTTATTATTACAGAGAAATGATACAGCCACAGGCTTGTGTACCAAACCTATTTCAACGAAATTTTAAAGTGCTTACCTAATATAGGATTTCCTTTGACATGAAATTTCCTATGATTTTTGTCCCTAAAGCAAAGTACAATGTCACCCTGGATTTAAAAAGAAATTCTTTACTGATTAACTAGTAATAGCTATCCTACAGAAAACTGGCAACCTTGGAGAAACCTAGTTTTTCATTATATATATTTTATCTGATTTTTCCAGTGTAATGACTAATAAGTAATTATGTGTACAACAGCACAATTAAAAGTTAAAAGGACCATGTCAATCCGACCTTAAATTTATTCTACTCTGATTATCTGGCCTGGTTTCTTTATAAACCTAATTTTAAAAGGAAACATGAGACTTTGGCAGGGGTGGGGAGAGGCCTCCTCTAAACGAAGACCTTGGTTTTGTTTCCAGTGATGGGATTTCTAACAGACCTTTATATTTTCAGATTTTTAAAATATTAAACTAATGAGTCTCTTAAAAAATAAACCTAATTTAACATTACTGAATATGATTGTATCTTAGTTAAACATGATATGGTCTGACATGACCACAGAATTGTTTCTCATTGACACAGCCCTTTCCATGATCCAATTGTTGCAGAGGACACAAAGACAAATGAACTTCATATAGAAAGGGTGACTGAGTTGGCACAGTTCTACTTTATTTTTAAAAAAGAAATAAAATCTATGACGATCCTTTACAAAACAATACAGGCTATTTAAATCTTAGAAATTATTTTAAAACTGATAAGTAAGTAATTCTAGGCTTCTCTTATAATGACTCCTAAAAGTGACTCAAAGAAATACAGATGTTGGTAAATTTCATGAATGGATTCATGCATCCCATTCATAAATGTATTTTCTCATCTAAAAATGGACATAGTACAATTGGCCTTACTAAATATATTATTATATAAATATATATATATATCCTAATTTAATGGTAAAAGATCACATTCAACAGTATATACTGAGGTTGTTCTATTTGAAAATCAGAATTACTATTTGTATTATAGCGTATATTTTAAAGAAAATATATACAAGCTACAAAGAAAAGTTCATAGAACTCTTTTTAGTTCTATTCATATGTAATATACACTTACATGTAATTATGGTATTCTGGAAAAGTAAATGCTTCTTATAAAGAATAATGTCCTTAATTATTTTTTAGTAACTAAAATAGTCAACAAATCAAAACTGCTATCTATCTGTTGGTTTTTATCAGACCAACAATTATTAAAGTGTACTGCATGATAAATTAGTGAAAACAATGTTTCATAGAAAGAACTATCTATACTTATAGTTTTAGAAACTCTGAATTAAACAATGTGAAGTATTATACCTTTGCAAATCTACATAGTAAATCTATATGTTAATGCAAATAAATATTCAATTGTTTCCAAAATTATTAATGTACTCCATTTTTTAATCATGGAATCATATTAAAGAAATGTATTTTGGAAATACAGGTTAGACCATGTTAGACTCTTTCATTTAAAGCCTTACTATATAGTAAAAGTGTTCTAGTTCAGACAATAATTCAACATTTAATTTGTAATTTATAATGAAAGTTTAGAGTATAAAAGATATTTGTTTTATATTATAATATATTAAAATTAAGGGGAAATGTTTTATGCTGTTTTGCTACTTGAAGATAATGACTATTAGCATGCTGGTTATTTTCTGTCTGTTTCTCTAACATTAACTTCCAAAATCCCAGAAAGTGTCACTAGCAAAACATCATTGTCACAAAAGTGACAAAATTCTGAGATAGCATTTATTTCTAACATATCATAAGTAGTAGAGAGCAATCAAAAGATCATTTGGGAGACTGGGAGTTTAATTAAATTTTTATTGATTACAGTGGAATTACAGTGGAGAATTTTATTAAATTCTCTGAGACACACTTTGGAAAATCTACTTTAAATTAAAATCATTGAGATTAAATAAATAACTTGTTATCAGAACAGATTTAAGATTCATTTCAAAATAATCTTTTCTTTAGAACTTCAGAGAATAACAGAACTCATAGGAAAATGAGTCTGCTCTTCCAGAGGATCTGGGTTCGATCCCTATCCCTGACAGGGTAGCTCACAACCACCTCTAACTACAGTTCCAGGGGATCTGATGCCCTCTTCTGGCAAGTACACAACGGTGCCCAGACACATGCAGGCAAAACTCAGATACCATAAAATAATGAAATAAAACAAGAAAGTTCAAGCCGTAGTATCAGAACATGAAGGATCTTGAGTAACTGCTTCTCTTTGAACTCAGAACAATATTACAGCAAGGCAAAAGATAAACTCTTACCATTAATAAGAATGCCTGCTGATTATGATTATTTTCATATAAAACAATTCATTCTCACTATGGCTATGTAATGTTAATTATAATATCACGACATTTTTACATGAATAAACTTTAATGTTTATTCATGGCTGATATATGTACCCTTTTATTATTCACTTTATTTATAATGTATAAAAATAACATATTAATACAATCATATCTATTTTTTTAAGTTATCTATGGTTTTATTTAGTTCAATTTCATTTAAATTACATATTAGCAATAGATTTATCAACTAATTATAATCCCATAGCTTATATAATATATGCAATATTTTAGTCAAATAAAGTGACAGCCAAGTTCAAACTTACAGTTCAATTGCCTTGTTCCACATGATGACATATCCAGAAAGAATGAAAGATTCAATATTTACAATATGTGTATTTCCTCTTTCTGTTCCAACATAGAGCCATTTACTCTGGAAAGGTAGATGACAGTAAGTAATTCTGAAAGAAAGAAAATTACAATTAAAATATCTGAATTTTACATCTGATCAGTACAATTTCCTTACACACATCACACTAACATACAGTTATAGTTGTATAAATAATAGAAAAACCTATGTACTGAGGTAGCATTTCCTTATTAATAAGAGGACATAGGACAAAAATAACAATATATCATTAAAATGAATAGTGACAATCATTATTAAATAAGTATCTATTATCGGCATGAATTTGTGTTTTATATTTCTTGACCAATAGACAAAAACATGAAAGTTGTGGATAATAATGGGAACAATGTGTTTGATACATATGCACCCTGAAAATATTTCAATCAGATTATGAAGTCTTATGAAATCTTTTTTTCCAGCATTAGTAAATGGTGGTACATTATTGTCACTTATGGTCATACTGTGGGACTGTATTTCAGAGCTTCCTTCTCATATCTGACATCGTAGTACTAGTTAACCAACCTTCCCCAGCCTTCCCCACACCCTTCTTTCTTCCCTGGCTCTGCTTCTGGTAACCACCATTGCTAAGAGATCAGCTGCACTATTTGTCATCCTGAAAACGTGTATGTATTCCTGTCTTATATAGAAAAAAACTAAGATGATTTTTACAGGAGCAGAAAATTGAACTTTGCTTTCAAATATATTTGATAAACTACAATAGGCACATTATAGTCAAAATGACAAAGAAATGTTCTCATAATTAATACTTCTAAAACTGTGACTAGGTATGTACTTTGAAAATGGAACCATTCTACAAGGTCATTTAAACTGTCTAATATGATGGAAATAATTCTAAATGCTTTACATATTATGTACAAAATACAATATAAACTATAAACCTCTGATCTATAAATGTTTAATTCTATCTCTATAGATGCATACATAAGACAGAAACTGCTTGCTTTGTAATTGCCAAATCTAATAGCTAATACAAGTAAGTGAAAAAACTGATACAAACTATTCCTATTCAGTTACAAAATTCTTATGTTCCTACTGAGCTCCACTGTTTATTTATTTAAATAAAAGTCACTTCAAAGATAAATTGGGTACTTAATGAACATAAATTTCAGAGTTCATAGAGTAGTAGCTATCTCTACACGAGAGTATAAATCATTTACTTTGTTCAGATGCTTGGCATTTAAGTATTAGGAGGAAAAATGTTAAGTTCAGAGAAATCACTTTATTCTTCCCTTAGTGTTTGTGTGTGTGTGTGTGTGTGTGTGTGTGTGTGTGTGTGTGTTGCATACTTCAGGCTACTTGCTGTCTTTTTTTTTTTCTACCTCCCATTTCAATGTACAAGTGTTAGACTTTCTTTAGTTTAATTGTTCTAGCTTCATCTTCATAATGGGCTTTCTGGCTAGCTCTGAGACCCATTCAGTATCTAGGGCCATCAGGACTACTATATATGTAATAGGAAATGTAACAACTCATCTATGAACATTGTAAATGGTCTCTCTAATTTGCATTCATTGTGCTTTTCTAGACACTTTTTTAAAACATTTATGAATGCTCTTTCTGTATGTACACCTGCACTCCAAGAGAGGGCATCAGATCCCTTTATAGGTGGTCATGAGCCGCCTGATGTGGTTGCTGGGAATTGGACTCAGGTCCTCTGGAAGAGCACCCAGTGCTCTTAACTGCTGAGCCATCTTAGTAGCCTCCTCTAGACTCTTAAAAGGATAATAAATTCACAAATAATATCTTGCCAGAACATGTGACCGCATAAAATGTTATCCTAGAGTTTACTTGGAAGATTATCTACTAAACTACCAAAAAAACTGAAGAAAATTTTAATATTAGGCAAATAGCTACACTTTAAAAAAAATGAATGGTAAATTCACACAATTCTATCTTATAACATGCATAAGACTGACACTTATGACTGCAATGGCACCCAAGAGTCAACAGTGAAGACAAAATGTGTCCGGTGCACAGTCTCAGCCTGCCATACTGAATGTTTCCATATCCCCCTCTCTGGATCAAATGTTATCTACCTGTGAAAAGTACCAGGCATATGATATTAAAAACACTAGAAACTTGCTATGACATAATCAACTGCAAAGTTAATTGATTTTTCTAATTAATGAGTAACCTATGTGATATTGAAAATCATTGATTAAAACATGAAGTCTAGAATAGCTGTCTCCAAGGGATATTTACTAATATTGCACAGTAAATAACTTGATGGTCATGTTTCTAGGCAACAGATGATCAATTTTTTATTTGACCTTCAATAGAAATAGGAACTCATTTTAAAGCAGATATAAAATCGACCCTTTCTGAATCAGAGAGATGGAGAAAACATAATCTAAGAGCTTCAAACAGGACGTGAGGAAACCTCAATATGATACAGTGATCTCAGCAGTTAACAAGTAAATTCTGAGAACTGCCAGGCTCAGTGGTGAAGCCTGAGGCAGGAGGTAGAACTCCAAGGTAAACAGGCATACTTTAATTTTTCCTGACCCTCACTTAGGACTCAATTTGGCAATCCTGTAATTTATATAATATTTGGATTTTTAATAAAATGGCAATATGGGTTTGGTGCCAAGTTCCTTTAAGTTTGGTGTGTTTATTCTTTGTATTTTTTCACCACCTTTATCTATCAAAACTACTTTTTTCCACAGTACACCATATCTTATGTTACAATGATTTGACATCGATTAATTTTTTTTAGTTTTTGTGATTGTTAGATTCAAAAAAATAGTATTGAGTATTAAACACATTTTAGCTACGTGCTCTACTACTGGGCTATATCTCTGGCCCTGATGTTATGTATCTTGTGCATAGATTTAAAGAAATTATTTTTTTATTTTATTTTAATCACAGGTCATTCACCTGTATACCAGCCGTAGGTCCCTCCTTCTTTCCCTCCCAATCCCATCCTCTCTCCCTCATCTCCTCCCTGCCCTCTTCCAAGTCTACTGATAAGGGAGGTCCTCCTCCCCTTCCATCTGACCCTAGCATATCATGTATCTTCAGGACTGGCTGGAGTGTCCTTATCTGTGGCCTAGCAAGGCTGCTCCTCCCTCGGGGTGGGGTGGGGGGCGAAGATCAATGAGCCAGTCACTGAGTTCATGTCAGAAATAATCCTTGTCCCCCATACTAGGGAACCCACTTGGATACTGAGCTACCATGGGCTATATCCGAGCAGGGGTTTTAGGTTATATCCATGTATGGTCCTTTGTTGGAGAAAGTCTCATAGAAGACCCCTGTGCCCTCATATATTTGGTCCTTGTGGAGCTCCTGTCTTCTCTAGGTCTAACTCCCTCTTCTTTCATATGATTCCCTGTACTCTGCCAAAGGTTTGTTTATTAGTCTCAGCATCTGCTTTGATACACTCCTAGGTAGAGTCTTTCAGAGTCCCTCTGTGGTAGGCTCCTGTCCTGTTACTTGTTTTCTCCAACCTCCAGTGTCCATACCATTTGTCTTTCTAGGTAAGGACCGAACATCTTACCCATGGTCCTCTTTCTTGTTTATCTTCTTTAGGTGTATAGATTTCATTATGTTTATCCTATCTTATAGGTCTAGTACCCACTTATGAGTATTTACTGTGTGTGTCTTTCTGCTCCTGTGATACCTCACTCAGAATGATCTTTTCTAGATCCATGATTTCCTTGTTTTTAACTGTTGAATAGTATTCCATTGTGTAAAAGTACCACAATTTCTATATCCATTCCTCTCTTGATGGATATCTGGGTTGTTTCCAGGTTCTGGCTATTACAAATAAAGCTGCTACAAACATGGTGAGCAAATGTCCTTATTGTGTACTTGAGCAAAGTTTGGATATATGCCTATGAGTGGTATAGCTGGGTCTTGAGGAAGCACTATTCCTAATTGTCTGAGAAAGCACCAGATTGATTTCCAGGGTGGTTGTACAAGTTTACATTCTTACCAGCAATGGAAGAGGGTACCCCTTTCTCCACAACCTCTCCAGCATGTGTTGTTACTTGAGTTTTTTATCTTAGCCATTCTGATTTAAAGAAATTATTAACTACAGCGGAAGTACCTGCCCTGGATATGAATAACACTATTCTATAGCTGGAGATCTGGATAAAAGAGGGAAAGAGAAAAAAAAACCTGGCATCTCAGGCTTATACTCTGTGTTTCCTGGCTTCTATGAGATGGGTAATTTCATTCTTCTATACTCTTATGTCCTGATGCTCTGCCTCACCATGGTACAGAAACAGCCAGGTGGTCGTAGACTGAAATCATGAGCCCAAATCAATCTTCACTCCTTTGTTCCATGAGGTAATGTGCGTTACAAAATGTCTAACATGTGAACAGTACAGTTCTGATATGTTATTAATCCATAACAAGATAAAACCATTTGGTTCTAACATAATCGTAAATGTTGTGAACTGAGCCTCTATAGCAGCATTGTTGGATAAAATCATCTCTTTACATAATCTAGAATGTTAGTGTTAATGTAATATAAAAATTAAAGCATTTGAAGTAAAAAGTTACTGTGGACCATTCACAACCCAAGATCACGCAAATGACCTTAGTTTACGAAAATATTGTCATAACTCATAAGACAAAAAAAAAAAAAGCTTTCAAGTAAAATAGTACTAAAGCATTGATGCTGCCTAGAGGAGACTCACTGGGGCCAACCATAGTGCTGCAGACCTTCAATGCCAGCATTTGAGAGCCACAGGCAGGTGGCTCTCCATGGGCTTGAGGCCAGTCTGCTATGCTATATGCTCTCTCAGGATGGATAGATGGATAGACAGATAGATAGATAGACAGATAGATAGACAGATAGATAGATAGATAGATAGATAGACAGATAGATAGACAGATAGATAGATAGACAGATAGACAGATAGACAGATAGACAGATAGACAGATAGACAGATAGACAGATAGACAGATAGACAGATAGACAGATAGACAGATAGATAGATAGATAGATAGATAGATAGACAGACAGACAGACAGACAGACAGACAGACAGACAGACAGATAGATAGATAGATAGATAGATAGATAGAT